ACGAACTTGACCTCCCCTTGCACATAGCCCCTACCACTACCATTGAGTCGTTCAGGGCCACCTGAATGATGTCCATGTTCTCTGGGTTCCCGGCAAGGCGCACCACCTCGCGCTTCAGCGCGCGGGCTTCCTGTAGGTTAATGTGGTGGGTTTTTCGAAAGGTATAAGAACCCACCACCTGCCACCGAAGACAAGGAGCCACGCTGGCCGCAAACTTTGAAGCCTCGAGAGGCGGGGCCTTAAGTAGATGATCACTCTCCGGATCCAGTCTCACAGCAGCCCCTCTAATTTCGGATCGCCTCCACAGCTCTGAGCACAAAGCCGGGCTCGCGAAGGCCCGAACAGCACCGCCTGATGTAGGGGTAGCGTCAGTAGCTAAGAGCGATGGTGAAATGCGGGATCTCATGCACCATGTGGCCAATGGTAGGTGCAGGGCCACAGACCGAAGCTCATCAGCAATGTGCCCTGGTAGTCGCACAGTCCTCTGAGGCTCTAGTTTGGAGACGAAGACATAGAAGTGGTGCAATAGACAGAAGAACTCCCGCCTGAACTGAAAGACGAAGGCGATGAAGCCCCCGAGCTTCTCCAAGGCTTCTTTGGAAGCTCGACCTGAAGCAACGAGTTGCGCAATCAACCGCCAGAGCTGCCGCCTAACGTCCAGTGGGGCCCCCACAGTGCCCTTGATGCCGTCAATCGCAGCACCCCAAGCTTTGAAGTTCACCTGGGCCCGGAAGGACTTCTGCAGCGCTCTCGGCAACTTTGCTCTCACATAGGCAGCCTCGGCAGCCATAGCATGCTGCATGTCCGGATCCTGGTCCTGCGGCGGCGGGGGCTCGAAGCTACCATCCAAAGGGATTTCCGAGGGCATGGCAACCTTCAGGGTGATGAGCAGGTCATCTAAGTAAATGCCTTCCCAAAGGGGATCGGTGGGAACTGGCTCGCCATACACAAGCTTGTGCTCGGCCTTCAGCAGGCCGTGGCGCTTCAGGATGCTCTCGTGGGTCGCCTGCGCGATCGAACAGGCATTCTTGTCACCCATGCCCAACACACGAAAGCAAAGGCGGTAGTCCTGGGCTGGGTCTCCACCGAACTCTTGGACCACGGCCTTGTTGACCCGGCGCCCCACAGGATTACCCACCCCGCAGGTAGCTTAAGCATATAATAGAAGTTCTTCAAGTCGTCCCCTGACCCCCGCAGAAATTCATTCGGCTCCAGCAGCATTCTGACGAAACAGGCTCCTGAGGGCAGGGCTTCCCACCCCAGATGAGGCATCGTGCTGTTCTCGGGCCTCCGATCGTAGATCAAGCGGTCATGTAACTCATCCTTGCCTACACAGAATAGCCCTCCACAAAGAAGTTTCCCCTCCGAAGTCCGCGGCAGATCTCGCTCACAAACAAGTTGGGCCATGCCTGTGCTGAGGAGCTTCCTCGCCAAGTCCGCCTCGTGTTCCTGAGGAACGCGGTGGCAGGCTACCACGACTTCACCCCAAGCTGCTTCAGGCAAACGCAACTCCTCCAAATGTTCCACCACCGCCGCCTGACCTGGAGGAAGCCAGTCCAGCGGGTCCACCACGCCAGCAGTCTCCGGCACGGCCACCCGATCGGCAGCCACAGGTAGAGCACCAGCAGGAGCGGGAACCTGACCCACTCCATAGCTTGCAAAGTTGAGTCTCAGCATCTCCTCCAAGACAGACCTTTTGCCTGAACACGTAAGAGACCCAAAAACTAACTCAACCGACGCGAATTCAACCACCTCGCCGAGCAACTTCTCAGAGTACTGCTGCACATCCACTCTGTGAAAAACCCGCGGCTCCAATGCTGCACTCTCCAAACCCGGACACCCAAGCACCACAAAGTTGCCCCAGGCCACAAACGTGTTTACGAAAGCCTTGGACCACCAAAGTAGGGCCTGGTCATCATCTCTCACCTCCTCGACAAAAGAGGCCTCAGGAAAGGGGAGCACAGCCGGGAAAAGTGGCACGTCATTGCCGGCCCGAACCGGCAGTGTACCTTGGATGCCTGTAAACCACGAAAAGTAAGCTTGAAATTTCGAATTCGCTCCTTCCAAAGCTGGGTGCTTAAGGCAGCGCTTTGCGGGCGGATCGTCATGCAAAGTTCTGGGCTTCACTTTCGGCTGGAAGAAGACGGCTCCTCGCCTTCGTCCTCGCCGGCCGTCGCTGCATTCGCCTCCTTCACTTTCTTGCGCAAGCTCGCCAGGGCCTCCACGTAGCCGGAGATCACCGACATCTCCTCGCGAGTCCCGGCAAAGTCGCGGCGCTGCATTGGATCCACCAGGCCTGTGAGAAGCCAGGCCGAGGCCCAATCTCCTCCCTGAAGAACACTCTGCAGCTTCGCCTTCATGTTCTGCACAAGTTGGGCTGCCGCAACCTCGTGGTTGCCTGCTCTCAGCTGCTCGTAAGCAGCCACATCCATCATCGCACATCGATAGATCCCCTTGAACTTCCCCCACGGCTGCTTTCGCATGTAGTCCCGCAGAGTCCAGCTCTGCCCCGGCACAATGCCCAGCTCCTCGCGGATCTCCTTCTCGTAGGTCAAATAGATCTTGCGGGGGTTCTTCTGAATCCGATCGTGCAGCCGATGAAGGGTGCTCACAGCTCGTAGGCCTCGGTTGGAAAGCTTTCGGTCGTCGTCCGACTCGTCGGAGGACGAGCCACCAAGGAGGCTGCTTGCGTCGTTCTTCTCTGCGCGGCTGCGACGGCCGCTGCGCTTCTTGTCTTCTCCCAGCATAGCCATCATCGCCAGCGGTAAGAGGTCGCTCGCACTTTGGCCGCTGGCAAGGGCCTTGGCCAACTCCCGCTTCAAGTCGGGCTCCGGATCTTTGGCTGCCTTCTGCTGCTTGCTTTTCTTTGCCGCCGCGCCGGGACGAAGAAACTCTTCCCCTGCTACGTCGTCGTCCTCGTCCTCCGTCTCCTCTTCGTCCTCGTCGTCTTCGGCTAGACCGCCGCGGCGCTTCTGAAAAAGCTGCTTCAAAGTTCCCAGTTCCTCCTCGATCCGGGTCTTGCTTTGCACGGGCTTCCGAAGTCGTGGGGCCTCGGCACCACTGCTGCTCAGCTCCTTGTCGGCCACCTGACCCCATGCCTTCAAGCTATTGCTCCAGGTAGGCAGGTCCTTGCACAAAGGGCCCTTCCAGTCGGCAGGCTTTGATGCTAACAAAGCGTCGCGCTTGACTTTGATAAAACCTATCTCCTCGCCGCCGGCTTTGCCACTTGTCTTGCTGGCAATGCCGGTCAAAGTAGAAAGAGTGCTACCCACGCAAGCTTCGTCCTCTGTTAAATGCACAATCCAGCCCGTCACATGCAGAAGGCCATTGCTTCCATGGCACACCACGTGTGCCACTTCACCTACCTCCATCCTTGAAACCCTTTAGAACTTGAGAGGAAACGAATGCCGGGGCTCGAGCTTTCGACACAACAGGTGAGTCTCGTACAGCACGACCATCCTGACAGGAATCTGCATGGCAGCCCTAAACCCTAAACCTCAAACCCTAATGATAAGGGCTCCGAGTCTTTTGAGCGTAGGATCTTAGTTTGAACTACCAGGCTCCGGGCGACATACTACGCACTATGCTGCAATCTATCGCAACCTGCTTTTCTGTAGAGTCTTAATACAAACCCCAATATAGCTCTTGTACAGGCCCCAGAGCAGAAAAGTAGGTTTTGGTTTGTTATTTAAAGTATATCTCTAGAAGGCCCGGTCCACAAATTTCAATTCCTAATCCAAAACCTACACCAAAACCTCGAATCTTGATAACCTACACCATCACCTCCAAACCTGCATCCTTAACCTGACCCCAAACCTCAATCCCTGATCCTGCAGAGGAGCGCAGCTCACAATTTTAAGGTCGAGGGGTGTTGGGAAAAGGCGGATTTGCTGTTCGGAGGCGAGACCATAACATAGAGGCCGGTAGAATCAAAGGAGCTTCCTTTCAAGATACGCTTAAGGGCTCTTTCAGGGTTCAGGCTTAGGGCCACAACACTGCTAGGGTTTATTCAACCTGCTATAACAACTGGGTGAGGTTGAAGCTTTTGAATGAACAGTGTTTGTTTTTGTCAAATTTTTTGACGTTCAGAGACTAGGGCTTTGGAGTTGCGCGTTGATTGAAGGTTTATGTTGGCCGAAACCCTGAACCAGAAACCCTTTGTAAGTGTTTACGCCAAACTGTTGGCCCAGATTCCTCGGGATGGCAGCCCATTGGCAATCGTAAGGGCTGTACACGGGGTTTGCACAAGCTTTGTGTCAGTCAAACGGTTGAGGATTTGGGTCTTTGATGGTCTTTGCGTTCCGGGATTACGGTTGCGAGCAGTTCTTCTCCAAGGCCAAGATTCGACGAAGAGCGGCCGGAAGCGGATGATGCCATCGGGGTTCACCTCGTGAGCCAAAACCGTGGTTTCACCGGCTGGCCTAATATCAAAGACCGGAAAAACTACAAAGAGGGTCGGCGCAATTCAAGGATAGAGGGGGTAATAATACGAGTTCTTCAATCCCCTGCACTACACGTTTGGGGCAAGTACAATCTGTACCCCAAACCCTAGACCCGAGACTGCCGAGACCCTCAGAACGGTGAGGGTAAGTAAGCCTCCCGGTATACGAGAACTGTAGTGATGCCGCCCTGACCTCCCTGCTGTCAGGCAGTAATGTAGCCCAAGCAGACTCCAGGTGGGGATTTTCTAGTTTCAACAAGCTACAATTTCGGAATCTACTTACGACCTGAAAACAAACACTATTTCAGTGGGGGCAGGCTGCCCCCATTTGTTGTGTGTACCTGCTCCGACCCTCGTTTGCAAGGCCGGCCCAAACTTCTTAGGGGTAGATGCTTACACTCCGAGCGACCCTACCCTAAACCCTAACTAAAAGTAGTTGGAGTGGTTGGGGGCGGGGCTACATGCTGACGCAAGCGCGCGATAAGTGGGCGCGCCCCTGTTGCTACAGAAGCGTACCCACCGAGCGCAGGCTGCATACACACCCTGACACCCTAAACCCTCCACCGACCATCCCAAATCCCAAAGACCGAAGGGAAACTCGCCAGCCACGTCGCCTTCCTGTACGCTGCCAATTCGAAAATGCACCAAAGACGCGACCTCAGGAGCTAGGGGTTCTTTGTAATTAGGGTTTAGGGTTTAGGGTTTTGGGTTTTGGGTTTTGGGCTTAGGGTTTAGGGTTTAGGGCTTAGGGTTCAGAGTTCCATGGGTTCCATGATTTATACAAACCTGTACATACGTAGACGAAGCAGTTAGACACCATGGCGCCGCCGACTCCCAGAAAAGGAAAATGCAGGAAAAGGTGGCTCAAACATGGCAGGACAAAAGCACATCACTCACGACGCTGGAGCCACTCTATGCTCCCACACCACCAACATATCGCAAATTAGCTCCACGTCACACTACTAGCAAGACTCGAAGCCCTGGCGCAGACAAGCTCAGACCGCGGCAGGTAGGGTGCGCTCCAAAGAACACGGAGCTCCGCGGAAACACGCAAAAATCCGGCGATGCCGTACACGCCCCGCTCCATAAGCTCAGGGTCCTGGAAGCTTCAAGTTAGGGTTTACTTGGAGGTTCATGGGTGGTTGTAAGTAGGGTGATAAGCAGGGTAACTATAATTATAACCCATACTAGGGAACTTATAGTTAGCATAGACCATTTCCATTTTCAACATGCACCCCCCCCCCCCCACTAGCACCCAAACCAGAACAACCTATACCTCAACCCTAACCCGATCCAAGACCCATAGGCAGAACCCTAGGAATAGCACACCCATAGACCCAAAACCATAACAACACTCTAAACCTCATACACCAACACCCCCAT